AGGCCGACTGGGGTTCAAGGAGACGGAAGCAGAGACACAAAATTGATGGAAGGAGCACAGCTGATGTTTCTCTCCAGGATGACGTCACAGCCAAACAGGAACAGACGATGCAAAGCTACTCTGCAGAGAGAGCAGAAGGTTAGAGATTGAACTAACAGATTCTGCAGAATAGGAGAACAGAGAGAGAATGAAGCAGAATGATGAAATGGGGGTCCCTATGTCCTCCAGCAGTCTAAGCCTATAGCAGCATAACTATAGAGATAGCTCAGGATAACCTGAGCCACCCTCAGTTTCTTTTTAACAGAAAGAAACCTCAAGCAGAACCAAGCTCCGTGTGAGCGGCCATCTGCTGAGGCCGACTGGGGTCCTTCTATCTCTTTTAATGAGATAGAAGTTCTTATCTCCGCTTTCTTTCTCACCTTGCTCTCTGTCTCTGTGGTATACGATATAATTCCCTAAATAATTTTCAAGAAAGGTTCATATAAAAGAATCAAGCAGAATATCTTGGCAACAGTCATTGTGCTGTTGAGCTATCAGCTAGCTCTAGGACATTAATTCCCAGAGCTAGATTGGCAAAACAGAAAAAAAAAGGCTAAGTCTAGTCACGCTGACCTTGGCCTCTCCACTGCAGAAAAGGTTTGTTAATTTGGGTACTTAGCCATGTTCTGTACACGAACGTTATGCTCTACATCAACCTCTTTTTTTAAATCATCTTTTTTAATTTGACTTGCTCTCATTTATTTTTTTCCTGATAGGAGGAGGCTACTGATCTCAGCCCAATATGCAAAATATCAAACTGATCCAGTCTGATGTTGTGTACTTTGCCAACTGCACCACAGGGTGGTGTGGTGTGTGGTAGCTGCGTAGTATGAACAAAGCCCTAACCTCCAGGTGGTTCGGCAGAATGGCCATTTAGCAATCCTTCTAAAGCTCCCCATAGCCCATGGCCACACACTGACACAAAATAAAACATTTTTTACCCACCTACCTAATAAATATTTATCATCTCTCACCGGCAGGCTTCACTTGTTTTTGATTCATGTTAATGCAGGTAAAACTACAGAATCAAAAACAGAATCAACATATTCTCATTATCAGTTCGTATGAAATTGTACGAATAGTTATGCACTGTATTTCGTACGTTTTAGACGTTTTTCCTTGAAAAACCATTTCAGTGAGCTTGTGCAGCCAGACAGACGAAAAAAGCAGATCGGCGGACGGACGTAAAACTGTGACGGACAGTGTAATAATTACTTCATGATGTCTCTCACTAAGTTGCTTGCTATGTTAAGGTTAGGTGTAGGGTGTGGGTTAGGGGGCTAGGGTTAGGTTTGTGAAAAGGGACTGGTTGCCCCATAGGGACAACCAGTAGTGCACTGGCACCACATGTCGGACGGAACCCCCCATCATTATCCAGAAAAAAATAAAAGAATTTAGTTTGGCTTGTGTTGTGAACCTCCATTCTTGTCCTTACAATCTGCTAATTAGTGTTCTTATGTCTCCCAATTTAGGGCTGCTATCTTCGTGTGTATCAAACCGGCTATATTTCGACTTTTATGAGTCTTCTTCAGGCCAACACACGGTAAATAAATGCTTATTTCATTTTTCTTGACTTTTCTCTCCACAGGTATTTGCTCATTTCACTGTACTTGACATGTCCTTAGGTAATTATATGACTTGACTTGTTCTTGTTCCCCACAGCATTGAATTTAGTTTAAGCACCCTCTGTATAGGATTTCCTGAAAGCGCGCACATGCGCGTTCACGACGCTACGGAAGCCGGCAGACCAAACCAGATGAAAGTGCGCATTCAGCGTCTGCTCTGCC